TCACTTCTTAGCATTCGTCCATCTCACATTCTACTTAAAGAGATATGGTACCTCAGAATTGGTTTCAAAATAATGAGATACAAGTTAACTTGAAATTATAATTCACCGAGGGTACGAGAGAGACGTTGGAACAGGAGTATCTGTTTCCTGTACCCGGTCGGACTGACAGGAAGGTGCACACTGAGCGTGCACCTTCCTATCACTCCGGCCGGGCACCGCGGACAGCAGAGCGGCTCGGCCACGCTACAGGGGAGGGCAGGTGAGTACCAACTGCAGCCGCCTGACCGCTCTTCACAGAGTGCTCAGGCGGCTGCAGATTTAAAGGGCCGGCGTATAACACGCACCTACAATTTGCTCCCTATTGTCAGGGAGAAAAAGTGCGTGTTATACGCCGATAAATACGGTATTCACTTTGAGATAGAGTATTGGTAAATTTATGTCATTATTCTTCCTTATATATATATATTTTATTAAATGTTTCTCTTCTCTCGTTCTCCTCCCTTTACTTGGTTAATTTTAGCTTATTGCTAATGTTGCAGCATGTGGATTTTGAGGCGGGCTTTAGTCACCAATTGACTCCACATTAGCTTGGAGTTTGGTTTTCACATCCAGGGTCATGGGATGTGGTGTTTGGTCCCCACCAAAGTGGTGATTACTTGGGGCTGTGTGTTTTTAAATGGTGTATAGTCTATGTTATGTTTTGTTGTGTTTTTCGTATACTGAGTGTGCCGAGAGAAAAAATTTCTATGCATATGATGACATTCAATGGTTAAACTTATGACGCTTAACGTACAGGGACTGAATAACTCAAATAAAAAAGTTATGGTATTTGATTATGTTAAAAGAGAGTGAGCTAAAATTATATTACTACAAGAGACCCACTGGCTAGAGAAATATATAAAATGCTTCATACCAAATAGATTTAATATTAAACTATATTCCTTATTAAAGGATAAAAAGAAATGTGGGGTCGCCCTTTTAGTGACTAACAATTTACATATTCAAATGACATATCAAGATATAGATAAAAATGGAAGATATATTTTAATAATATGTAAAATACAAAATGAAGAATTTACCATCGCTAATGGAAGTACCAGATCTATTAGCCCTATTTTAGAGAATACATAAGAGAGATAAAGAAAACAAGGGATTAGCCATAAATAACTTATTCTCACAGTGGAAAAACTGAAAAAAGAGACTTAAGATATTAGATAAAATAATAGATGACCTGCCAGTGAGTATTCTGACAGCTAATATTGAGGATTTTAACCTTAATACTTGGATGGCAAATGGCATCAACAGAATGGTTCAGATAATGCGATATAACCGGATCATGTCCTTTGAGGAAATAAGACAAATATTTCCTCTCCCTTATAGAGAGAACTTTACATACCTGAGGAAAAAGCACTTCCTTAACAAACATAAGGTCCGGGACATGACAGAGGGATTATAACTTTTTATGAACATAATAAATATCAAAATCAATAAAAAAATGTAGTCTCAAAATGTGCTTAATTATATAATTGGTACAAAATAATCCCGATGATTCCAGCATTAAAATCATGCGGAAAAGACCTACAAATCAGCATCACGAGAAAAGAGTGGATAAGTGCAATGAATGCTGTACTTAAGGCTCTGCGCTGAGAGCCACTATAAGATTATTAATAGATGGCATTATGTTCCTATTACATTAACAAATAATGGAGCCCATGGATCAGCGCAGCTAAGAGGAATAGGCCTTGACAGAGCCAGGAGGTAGGCATAGCAGCCACAGGAATTTAGTGACAGCTAGCATGCTGGGTAGGACGGAGCCATAAGGGGAGTATTTATACCGGCCATTATAGGAAGTGGCCATTTTAACTGAACCTAAGCTTACCTGTCAGTTGTCCCTCCCACCCTCCCTGTATTTGGTTAGGTTAGTTGATTTCCCGTTTTTTTTTTGTCTTGGTACACCCCTACAATCGATATGGTGGGTAGCGGTGTCTCGGTACACCCCTACAATCGATATGGTGGGTAGCGGTGTCTCGGTACACCCCTACAATTTAACCTGGTGGAAATGTGGTCAAATTGGGCGGCCAATTTCTGTATTAACATGTTATTTAGATTGTTATCTATTGTTATTATTGTGGGGTCATTGCTAGGGGTATGTTATGTATATGGGGGATGTTAACGTTATTAAGATTTGTTGGCAATGACCCCATTTGTTATTCCTTAATTATTTTATTAATAATTTAATAAAGCTGTGGACGAATTATTTCCAACAGTATAACCTGTGTCCGTGTTTTAATGGGGGTTTGGGTAAGGTTAGCGCATATGCCGGCAAATCCGACTGTGCACCTGTCATGTACCCAGATACGCAGCATAACTGCTGGAGATGCGGTTCTCTCAGGGCAGATTATGTCCACATTTGGTGGTCCTGTCCGATAATAAGTCAACTATGGAAAAAGGTAGAAAAATTCTGTAAAGAAGAGATAGAGGCAGATATAGATTTTTCCTGTAGAAATCTTGGATGGCCCATAATGCCAACGAGTAAAAAAGATTTAGTTATACATATCCTTACAGAGACTAAAGCAACTCTGGCAAGATATTGGAAAACCCCAGACACCCCTCCTTGGGAGATGATAAAATATGAAGTCCTGAACCATTGTAAAATGGAGATAGGAATATTAAGACAGGATAATTATCTTAACCCAAGAATAGAACACTGGGAGAAATAGATTACAAAAATGGGCAATAAGTGATGACTAACAAACCTTATGGGATTTTTTCTTTTTCTCTTTTCTTTATTTTTTTTCCTTTTTTTCTCCCAGCTATGTACGCTGTCATATCTCACATTTAATTATGGCCAAAGTATGTTATTACTGGCCAATCTTCATAAGAATATATCACTGCAAAAAGAATACAGGTAGAGTTGAGTGAACCCGAACTGTAAATTTCGGGTTTATACCGAACATTATGTTTTTTGGACCCCGGGCCCGAACATCACTGTATGTTCGGGTTGGAGTTCAGTGGTTGGCGATTTAATGGCGCGTTTTCAAAGGCTGCAGGGTTTGACTCGTGTGCCCTTAGAAGCCATCACAGCCATGCCTACTAATGGTATGGCTGTGATTGGCCAGTGCAGCATGTGACCCAGCCTCTATATATAAGCTGGAGTCACGTAGCGCCGCACGCATGTGCGGTCTTATCAGTGTAGGGAGAGGATGCTGCCGCTGTGAGGGACAGCATAGGAAAGAATTCTGCAAACTAGTACATTAGTGGGGTGCACTTCACATCTGAGAGTCAAATAGAAGCTTCAAATACCGCGGTTACATCGGAGTTTTAAAAAGTAAAAAAATTTTGGGTGCTAAATAGTACATTAGTGGGATAGTACATTAGTGGGGTGCACTTCATATCTGAGAGTCAAATAGAATCGTCAAATACTGCTGACACAGTGCAGTTTTAAAACGTAAATTTTTTTAGGTGCTAATCTGCTAAATAGTACATTTTGGGGCATGCACTTCATATCTGAGAGTCAAATAGAAAGTCTAATAGTGTGCTTACTGCGCAGTTCTAAAAATTCTAATTGTTTTGCTGCTAATCTGCTAAATATTACGTTTTCGGCCTGTGGTGCACTTCATATCTGAGAGTCAAACAGAAGCGTCAAACAGTGCGCTTACTGCGCACTTGTAAACATTCTAATTGTTTTGCTGCTAATCTGCTGCTTACATTGGAGTTTTAAAAAGTCAATTTTTGTTATTTTTTTGGTGCTAAATAGTATATTTGGGGTGTTCACTTCATATCTAAAAGTCAAATTGAAGCAAAACTTTGATTCGAATTTACTACATCGAATTTACTACATAATTTCACACCTACAACACTTGTTACACAGATCTAAGTGATAGAAAACAGACTGATAATTTCTACACTAGAAACTACCAGATAACAAGCTGCTATATTTAAACCAGTTATCAATAGCTAAGAGGTACTTAAACAATATTGCAATTCTGGGGCAATACCCTCACAAGTCAAACTGGGAGGTAAGTTTATAGGGAAAACTGTTGCCTGGATACAATTCTAAAACAATTTCCATATGTCCTTTGCAGACTTTACATGCTGGAAAACCACAGGTGCCAACTGCTGTGGCTTTCTGCAGTGAGCATACCGGCAAGGAGGGTAGGGTTGAGGAGTGGGTGGAAGATGATGTGGAGGATGATGAGGTCCTAGACCCCACATGAAATCAAGGTCATGCGAGTGCCATGTGCAGTTTGGAGGAAGAGGCACTGGTCACACAGAGGCACCAGCACAGCATAAGAGGGAGCAGAGTGCAAAAGCGGAGGGCCATCCCCTAGCGCTCGTCGTCATGTATTAGCTCGAGAATTACCAGTTATCCAAGTAATACATGTAGCGATCAAAGGATCCATAATAGAGTTGAGTGAACCTGAACTACAAAGTTCGGGTTCGTACCAGATTTAACGATCCATTCGTAGTTTCACAGTCAGGTGGGCAGTCCGGTGACCAGGACCCAGACACTGTCTGGGCGTCAGTCAGACGACCGGGAACCAGTATGCCTGATGTTGAAATTAGGAGTCACAGTGTGGAATGGATTAGCAGGGTCTGGTGCAGGGTAACCGCACGCCCCCTGGTGTTGAGCACCAGCATTTGTGCGGCCACATACCAGGACCCTGATGCAGCTTCAGTAAAAAGAGTACTGGATACCAGAAGCCATCACCTGACTGATCCGCAAATTGGAACAGGATGTGACATTCACTGTAGCGGCTGTGCGCGCTTTTGGCGTTCTCACCCTGCTGCTGCTCGCCTGTCTGCGCTACAGCGTACCTTGGCCTTCCCGCTCACCGCCTCATGAGACTGTGCGAGCAGCAGGCGATAGGGGAGTTTCAGCTGCAGCACGCACAGGTCAGTGGCTCTGCACCAGACTTCCCTCCAATTGATCAGAGTTAAAGGATTTCAAGTGGACTCATTACAATTACAGGGCCTCTAAAGAGTCCTGTATTGTTATTTGTCGTCACTACCTTCCCGCGTCGGGAGTCGGTCATTTGCGCGCCTGCTGCCTTCCTTGCATGTGGTAGCCGTTTCTCAGGGTCCCTGATTCCCCATTATCCGTGGTCACCATTGTAGGCGCAGAAACTGGCATCGAAAGTTGATATGGATGACATCCGCATGCCAAGTCGCCGACACGGGGATGTGCAATTGGCCCGAGGTTCTCTAGAGTCAACAAACAGCCTGCGCAACTATAATGTCAACAGCTACTCTGCGGAACAGAGTTGTCTTTTTTATATGTCCCAATATTTTGGAGGCTACCCCAATTAAAAAAAAAAATATATATATATATATATATATATATATATATATATATATATAAAAAACAGTGTTGGCTACCTCATCCTCCTCCTCCACCGCTGCTTCCACCTACACCGCCACGGTCACCGCCTCCTCAACCTATGGGTCACTTAGTATAAACTATGTACACAATAGCAGAGGCTTGTGAAGGCCTTTTCTCCATGCATCAGGAGTTGAGCATTTCTCCATGCATCAGGACTGCAAGAAATGCACCGCAGGCCGCAAATGTTTTTTTTTTGTATGTCCCAATATTTTGGGGGCTACCCCAATTAAAATAAAAAATAGATATATATAAACAGTGTTGGCTACCTCCTCCTCCTCCACCGCCGCTTCCACCTACACCAGCACGGTCACTGCCTCCTCAACCTATGGGTCACTAAGTATAAACTATGTACACAATAGCAGAGGCTTGTGAAGGTCTTTTCTCCATGCATCAGGAGTTGAGCATTTCTCCATGCATCAGGACTGCAAGAAGTGCAGCGCAGGCCGCAAATGTTTCTTTTTTTGTATGTCCCAATAGTTTGTGGGCTACCACAATAAAAAAAAAAACATAAAAAACAGTGTTGGCTACCTCATCCTCCTCCTCCTCCACAGCTCTTTCCACCTACACCGCCACGGTCACCGCCTCCTCAACCTATGGGTCACTTAGTACAAACTATGTACACATTAGTAGAGGCTTGTGAAGGACTTTTCTCCATGCATCAGGAGTTGAGCATTTCTCCATGCATCAGGACTGCAAGAAATGCACCACAGGCCGCAAATGTTTCTTTTTTTGTATGTCCCAATATTTTGGGGGCTACCCCAATTAAAATAAAAAATAGATATACATAAAGAGTGTTGGCTACCTCCTCCTCCTCCTTGTGAAGGCCTTTTCTCCATGTATCAGGAGTTGAGCTCAGTTTGAACAATGAAAGAGAATACCCTGCACTCCAAATGGATAATTATGGTGATCCTCCTGACAGCCATGCTTTAGATTTTGATTTATGTTCTTCCAAAGCTAAAATCAAAGATTCCATCTAGTGCTATTTTATGGCTCAGCTGTATTTTTAATTTTTATGTTATTTTTTTTTTTTTTCAATTGACAATTTTTTATTGTTTTTTTGCAGTTATCAGTGGGGTACAGAAGAGAAATGGGGATGGGGGAATACCAACAAGTGTTGTCGACATGGTATAATCATTACAATTACATTGTGTTGTGCTCCTTCTTAACAATGCTATGGTATATAGTTCCATTCACAAGTAAACTCTCAAGTAAACTCTAAGTTCTGTCTCGTCTATCGTTACTTCCTTGCGCCCTCCTTTGTAATTCGCGGGTTGGCGGAGGGGAGGGGGGGGGAGGGGGTAAACTTATGTACACGTGTGGGATTGCGTTGTCTGTGTCTTTTCCTACTTTTTCCTTCAGCTTGTGTGTAAGCCTAAAGTGGGGCTCTAGATGTAAGCTCTTTACGTGAGCTCTATTATGGGCTCTTTTCGTGGACTCTCGATTTGAGCTCTCTCCCTAGTATTCTTTTCCTCAGTATCTCGCAGGCCAATCTTCGTTGCTCTTGCAGAACCTATTGGTGTGCAGTTTCGGCTACCTGAGGTTTTACCTTGTTCCAATATGTGTCCCAGATGCTACCTGCCTCTGTGGTGGTACCCCCTTTGCCTAGTTGGCGAGCCGCCATGTATTCATATTCCCAGTTCAGTTGAATTTGTGCTAGCAGACTGGCTCTTGTGGGGGCTGAATTAGATTTCCATTGTTTCGCTATGAGATTACAAGCTGACATTATCGTGTGGAACATAAGTTTGGCATGGACCTTGGATATGCCCTCTGGCCATATGTACAATAGGCACATTGCCGGCGTCAGGGTTACTTTTATGGGTATTAGCTGACCTAGGATGTCGTTAACTACCTTCCAGTAGGGCCGAATTTCCCTGCATTCCCACCATATGTGTAGCATTGATCCCCTGTCTATTCCACATCGCCAGCATTGGGCCGAGGTGCCTGGGAATATGTGTGCTAGCCTCGTCGGGACTAGATACCATCTATATTGTAGTTTCCTTATTTGTTCAAGGTGTGTAACACATGTGGTCTTGCCTTTGTGAATAGTGAAGGCTCCCACCCATTGATGCTCTGAGAAAGTGCATCCGAGGTCTTTGTGCCATGCCTGTTTGAAGTTGTCGGTAGAGTTATGTGTACCAGTTAGCAACGTTCCATAGACTCTTGAAAAGGTACGTTTGTGTGGGGTTCCCTTGAGGCAGCATGCCTCGTAGTCAGACATCGCGGGAGTCCCAGGTGAGGGAGTGTGGTGTTGTAGCATCGATTTGATCTGTAGGTATGAAAAAATTGCTCTATTCGGTATTTTGTATTGAGCTTGTATGTCCGGGAATTGTTTAAGAGAGGATCCTGTGTACAGATCGTGTATGTGCGTGCACCCTGCCTTTGTCCATGCCCTAAAGTCAAATGTTGGGTTTCTCAGGTATATGCTATACATCGTTGAGGCAAGTGATAGGTCACCTGTTACGCTGAGGTGCGCTCTACTTGTATCCCATGTGTGCAGCAATAGTTTTGTGGTTTCCAGCATTTGGGGTGGTGCCGGTCTCAGGTGTTTTGGCACCCAGAATAGGTGGTGCATCCCAGCTCTGCACGACTCATGGGTTTCAATAGCTACCCATTGTGGTGGGTTATCTGCCCTGTGTGCCACGGCCACCGTGGATAGCAGCGCCGCCTTGTAGTATAGTTTGATATCTGGGAAACCCATGCCCCCTTTCTCTATTGGCTTTTTGATCGTGGAGAGTGCTACTCTAGGGGTTTTGTTTGCCCATGTGAATCGTGTGATGATTTTTTGTAACTTGGTCATGTAGTGCCTGGGGATGGGGATCTGTAGTGAGCGGAATAGATACTGTAGTTTAGGTAACAGCGACATTTTAAAAGCCGCTATGCGCCCGTGCCACGAGTGGAAATCGCCATGCCACTTTTCGAGCGTCTGCGATATTTCGTGTGATAGTTTCTCATAGTTATATTTATACATTTGGTGGGTCGTTCTGGCTAAATTGATCCCTAGAAACTTTATGTAGTCATCCCTCCAGTCGAAGTTAAAAGATTCCGTCAGGGTGTGGAGAGTCCGTCCCGGGAGATGGATTCCCATTGCCTGTGTTTTTGTCAGGTTAAGTTTGTAATACGATACTTTGTTATAGTCTTGTATGCACTGAAGGAGGTTGGGAATGGATATTTGCGGTTGTGTCAAAGTTAGTAGTATGTCGTCTGCAAAAAGGCTGAGGGTGTACTCTCTGTCTCCCACTGGGACTCCGTGTATCGCCGGATGGGCCCTAATCGTGGCAGCCAGAGGTTCTAGTGCTAGCACGTATAACAGAGGGGACAACGGACACCCCTGTCTCGTCCCATTTGTGATTTCTATTTGTTCTGATACAAATCCTGAGTTTAAGACCTGGGCCCTTGGCGCCGAGTAGAGCGCCCTTACCACTGAAATGAAGCTCCCCGGGATCCCATATCTCTGTAGGGCCGCCTCCAGAAAGCTCCATCCCAGCCGGTCGAAGGCCTTTTCTGCGTCTAACGATATTAGGACCCCCCCTGCCCGTGTTGTCTCCAGGCTCTGCATAAGGTTTAGAACTTTTCTTGTGTTATCTGCCCCCTGTCGCCCTGCTACAAACCCCACTTGGTCATTGTGTATAATATGCGGCAGTATAGGCCCTAATCTTCTTGCGTAGAGTTTGGCTAGGATTTTGGTGTCCGTGTTAAGAAGGGATATAGGGCGGAAGTTCTGCGGCTGTGTCGGAGGCTTACCCGGCTTAGGTAGGGTGATAATATGGGCCAGTTGCATTTCTCCCGGGAGGGTCTCTGTGCGTACTGCTTCATTAAATACTTCTGCTAGATAGGGTGCTAAGATATCTTTAAATATCTTGTAATACGAATTTGCGAATCCGTCAGGGCCTGGGGCCTTTCCTGTCGGTAGTGACCGTATCGTATCGCAAACCTCCTCTGGGGTAACTTGCCTAGTTAGTGTTTCTTGTTGCTGGGGCGTTAAGGTCGGGAGAGTTGTTTTATCTAAGTACTCTGTAATGTTTGTATCTGTTGGGGGTTGGATAGTGGGGTCTCGTCGTAGGTTGTATAAGTCCCCATAGTAGCGTGCAAATTCGTTACTAATTGTGAGAGGTGTCATTACCTTCCCCCCCGCTTTGGAGTGTAAAAACGCTATTTTCTGCGCCTGCTGTCGTTTTTTCAATCTTGAAGCCAGCAATTTTCCCGCCCTATTCCCTTGTGAGTAATGTGTGGCTTTTAACTTCCTTAAGGTGTATCCTACTCTGTCGATCGCTGTTTGTCGGAGTTTTTGACGTATCTCCGCTATTTGTTCTTTCAATTGGGTCGAGGGTTGGGCTTGGTTCTGTAATGTCAGGTTGTATAAGTCTTTCTGCCATTGTAATGTCTGTATCTGTGATTTTCTTTTCAAGAATGCTGCTCTTCGTATAAGGAGTCCCCGGGTTACCGCTTTATGGGCCTGCCATATCGTGTGGTGTTGTAAATCAGAATTGGTATTATCTGTGAAGTAATGGCGTAGTGAGTCAGAAACGCTCTCCAAGAAGGACTTGTCCGATAGGAGAGTTTCATTGAGACGCCATGGACCCCTATGTTTAAAATCATACGTGTCCTTTAGTGTTAGTTCCATGGGAGCGTGGTCAGACCATACTATTTGCCCTACTCTGCAGTCCACTATCTGCTCAAGTGCTCCTCCCTCTACCAGTATCGCGTCTATTCTCGAGTAGGTGTTATGGACCTGTGAGTGGTGGGTGAATTCCTTATCTTCTGTGTGTGTGACGCGCCATGCGTCGTAGTAATGGT